CTATATACCGCTTCACAGTGCTTTACAGCCCTCTCTTGTAAACCGCTTAGGTTTACAGTCAGTCTCTTGCCCCCAATGATCTGGCTCCTCATTTTACCCACCTCAGAAGGACAGAAGGCTGAGTCAACCTTGAGCCTGGTGAGATTCAAACTGGCAAATTGCAGGCAGCAGAAGGAGCCTGCAGTACCTCACTCTAACCACTGTGCCACCGTAATCTTTGATAGGCAGAAGCCTATCCTGGCTCCGCCGGAGAGCTTTTGCCACCCTTTCTGGCACAGCAGCTGCCCACGGGTTCTTGCGGTCATGACATTGGTCCCTTGTTCCCTGCTGTGCTTCTTCCCTTTCTTCCTCGGTCTCTGGAATGAGCTTTTCCCCCTCTGCCCCTTTTGTCCCTTCCCAGCAGGAAGTAAAGTTCGCTATGTGGACATTCTGAACCCAGGCAAAGCCAAGTCCCCCGTTCCTGCTCCAGCTCCAGCTGACCTCTTTGCTCCCTTGGCCCCGATGCCCATCCCTGCCAACATGTTTGTACCCAACTCAGGTGAGTCAAAGGCAGGTGAGAAGAAGGCAAGCAGGAGCCGCACTCTGGAGCTCACCCGCCTCCCTTCCCGGCTGCTTTTTCTTCTGCTTCCCTTGCCAAAGAAGAGGGAAGGGGGGGCTGTTGGCTGAATGTAGTTGAACAGCTTTTGCTAAGGAAAATATAAGGTTGGGATTTGAGTGAATGAATTGGTGGAAGTATTAGATAGGCCTCCTCTTGTCAAAGCTTAGATTGTAAATATTCTGTTTAGATCAGGGCTGTCAAGCTAGATTTCTTTGAGGGCCGGATCAGCATTAGAGTCTCAGGCCTGGAAGGCATCTTTTGCGCTGGGCCTGCCACATTTATTGCTGTGGGAAAATGGGAGGGGGATCATATGGAGTGTGGTACATACAGTCAAAATAACATTCCTTTCTCAGAGAGTCAAGGACGTCTTGCTCTGCACCTGGAGAGGCGTGATTGGGAGGCATCTCCAGTTGGGAGGGTGCCTGATTGGGCCATGGGATGGGCATGGGGTTGCTGCACAAGGACTGGAACTTTCTTTTGGGTGCGGAAAACCTGGAAGCTCTCAGATTGGGGGTTTTCCCAGATGTGCCAAAATGGCATGTCTAATAAAGTGGAACTTTGAGGAAACTCAAGCCTCGGAGTCTCCTTTCGTTGGGGGTGTTTCTTGGAACTCTGACATTACCCTGACATATTTCCAGGCTGGACCCGTGGGCCAGATTTAAACACCCTGCAGGCCAGATCCGGCCCAGGGGCCTTGAGTTTGACACCTCTGGGTTAGACTATTTGTGAAAAGACTCTTCTTGAATTCTTCACTTTCTGAACAGTTGGTGTTACGCTTAAATGACAAATGGCATTTTTTGTGTGTGAAACACTGTTTTAAAAACTGATTTGATTCCACAACTTTGGAATGTAATTCAGAATAACTCAGAAGCCTTTAACTTGAGGACAAGTTTCCCCTAAAGCCAGCCAGAGACCCCCCATGGAAGAGAATGCCCATTTCAAGCTTGGCTTTTCTTCCATGGAAAACCCTATGCAGATGCCTGGGATGGAGGGAAAGGACGGAAAGCTTGTTCTTTTTTTAAAAAAAACAACAACCACCCTGTGACCTCTTCATACAGTTCCTGAAGAGCAGACACCGCTGGAGGGTGGAGTGGCTCAAGACCAGGTGACCCCAGGCAACGACACCAACCCCCCCGAGTCAACGGGAGAAGTTCCAGTAAGTTGGAGTGGGCAATGTTCTTTCCTTTTAGAGATGTGGAGCCTTTGAGCCCAGAACCCCTGAATGCGGCAGCTGGGCTTCTCGGACCCCACTCAGACGCCCCCCTGGCTGTTTCTGTAACATCAGTTCTATAACTATTTGGTCTTCTAGAAATATATTAATGTGTCAAAGCAAAAAAGTTAAGGCTGGAGTGTGTGTATCTTGTACTCTTCTAGAAAGAGGTGGAAGTCAATGCCCCCTTTTCTCTTTCCCCTTGCATTTCCCCCACCCCTTTTCCCGTTCCCTTTCCCACCCTTCATTTCCTATTTTCTTTTATTTTCTTTCTTTTTGCTATTTTATATAATAAAATAAAAATGATTTTTTAAAAAAAGCCTTCCTGCTTGGAATTCGGAGGTTGGATGCCAGTGAAAGACTGTGGGCTGGGCAGGGGTTGTGCCTGGGTGAGGGAAGGGAGAACAGCAAATTGGGTGAAAGGTATAAGAATAAGAAGAAACATATACTGCAGTCCTCGGCTTACGGCCACCGGGGAGCAGAATTTCTGTTGTAAGTCATGGAAGTCATAAACTGAGTCATCATGGAAGTGAACCTGATTTGTGGCCATTTTCTCCACCGTTATTAAACGCATCCAGCTTCCCCAGTTGATGCTTTTGTCAGAAACTGGCTGGGTGGGTCACACATCACAATCATGTCTCTTACAAGACGCTGCAGCCCGTTGTAAATGCGAGCCAGGTGCCAACTGTCTGCATTGCAATGATGGGGCTGTGGGGCAGGTATGGCAGGTGTAAGTGCAACAGCAACTGGCTTATCGCTTTTTCTGAGGGGTCATAATTTTGCACTGTAGTTAAATAGTCATAAATCAAGGTCTACCTGGCGTGAATTATTGCATTGATTCTTCTCTGACCTCTCCTCATGATGGAGAGCTTTAACAATAACATGAGGACTTTCGGATTTCATAAAATGTTCATGCCAATGTTTAGCTGTGGATAATTTCAATTGGATTCTCTTGGTGTTCTGACCTAGGCTTCCCAAAAGCACAAAGCCGACTCCTCATCCCGATAAAACCCCTTTTATTTAGGTTAAAGATAATTCCTCTCCAACAAAGTCTTTCCAGAGATTTCACAGCTACAGACCTTTCTCAGGCTTGGAGAGCTGCCAGGCCGATATCTTCCAAACTCCACGCTGTAGCAGCAATTACTTGGCTAGAAGTCAGGAACAGATCTTCACCCGAATGAATTGAACTAATTGTCTCCTGCAAACACCTCTCCCCTTTTGCTCCTCTTTTATTCCCTCTGGGAGGGGCCATTCAATGTCCACCTGTGCCTTTACTCCTGAGTCAACCCTTGTTCCTTAGCTGTTCCCTTCTCCTGGAAGCTCTGCACATGTGCACACTGGGAACAGGCTCCAGCTGTTCTTCTGCCCCACTGATGTCTGAGTCTGAAAGCAGCTGATAACTGTCGGACGGCCCTGGCTCCCTCTCTGCCTCCAACGCAGAGCCCTCACCAGAGCCTTCCCCAGACTCCAGGACTGGCCCAGGTTCCTCCCCAACCTCCTCACTGTCTGAGTCGGCCACCAGATCCGCTGGCGGGCCGCAACACTTGGGTCCATGGTTCATGTCTTCCTTTCTTTTCTCTTTCAGTGCTTAAATTCTGCTGCATTTCCACCTGGGCCTGAATTTCCTGCACCATATCCGGGGGACGCCCAGACTGGAGAGGTAGGCGCCCCTTGCTGGGTTAGCTATTCTGAGCCTTTGAGGCACCTGCGAGGTGCTTCAAGGCCCACCTTTGCAACAGAAAATGGCAGGTAACAAGCTCAGGTGCTGAAAGGCCATTGGAAACAGGAAGAGTGGGACCGGAAGGAGGTAAAGGTACAGCAAGGTTCGGCTTGGCAATCTGCATCTGGGAACGGAAGATGCAGTCGCCGTTTCTGAAGAGGCCCATCCATTCCGAGGAGCCTCCCTTCCTCCGTTGAATGTGATTTGTGCATGGGTTTGGTTTTTGTGAAGTGCCATGAAAATGCCAGACTCTTGAAATCCAACCCGAGGCCTTGAGTTGCATCCGAGATGTTCGTAACCCAGAAAGTGCCTTTTTAAAAACAAACAAACCCCAAAGCTAACTTGCATATAGCAATATGTATAATTTAACCTTTGGCCCTGGGACCCTTCCCCCTCCCCCTCCCCCTTTGATACGAACAAAAGTTTAACGGACAGTTGCAGGCAGTGGCTGGCATGGTGACTTTGATTCCCTTTTTTTGTGTGTTGTGTGTCTTTGCTGTTTTGTAGCTTTCGCGCTCTAGTTCAATGAGTTCATTATCCTGTGAAGTCAGCCAGCATTTAAATCAGGTACCTTGGCTGGCCCTCCTCCTCCTCCTCTTCTGTTTTCCTGCTCCTTTTCCCTCCTTCTCCCCATCGTATCTTGTCCCTCGTTCTGCCATCTCCCACTTGCATTTCCATCCAACTAACACCGTAAGGTTGAAGCCTTCTGGCCCCCAAAGAAGGGGAAATGGAGTCCCTGGCTCTTTTTGAGCCAGCTCTCCACTGCTGGGGAAACGTGATTGCTTTTCCATAATGCAGGGTTCATAGTCCAAGCCCCAGCCCCCCACCTCAAAAAAGAGTCAGAGTTGGGGTTTTGTCTAGCCAGCCTGGAATTGGACAGCCAGTGAAAAACAATAGAAAGGGCAAAATGTGCTGAATCAGAATATGTTTTGGTATGATCCTTACAGTTTGATGGGTGAGCTTATCAATAAATCAAAGGTGGGAATCACCACTTTCAGGGCCGAGAGCAGAGGTTGTAATGCAACATCTGGAATCAATAGTACTTCCATACACACAACTCAAAATATGCACTAGGCATGTAGACACACCTTTTGACCTGGAGGCGATGCTCTCGCCTCACAATCAGGAGGCTGTGAGTTCGCTCCCTGTTAGAGGCTGATATTTGTCTCTGGGCACAATGAGAATATATCAGCTGCAAAAACCCCAGGAAAGGCATCTGGCCAGTAAACACTCTGCTCCATTCATTTCTCCAGACTCCACCCCATAAGGGACGATGGGGCAAGCACCCCTCATTTCCACTGAGTTACATTCCTTCTTTATCACTACTATTGTGATGCCATGGGTACAGGGCTGGGCTTTCTGGGGAGAAACCGAAGGGAGTGTTTCGGAAGTGTGAATCCTTCTGTACAATTTTTTTCGACATTGACAAGAAATGGGCAATTGTTAAGACACATCATTTGCTACTTTCTGTTCTGGTGATTTTACTTGTTGACGCAATAGAGCGTCTCCCTGTCAGCAGGGAGATTGGGGAAGACGGTCCAAAGGGACTTCTGGGGCCACTTGTGCCTTACAGATCACTCACTCGATATCAGGTATCCTATTATATGATGCCATAGGATATGACAGGAGAACTACTCCCAGTGCTTGAGTGGATGTCACAGAGAAGAGGGAATTGACTCATTCCCCAAAGCACCAGAGGGCAAGAAGCAACGGGTGGAAGCTCATTAAAGAGAGAGCAGACCGAGGAGTAAATTACCTGTCAGAATGATAAATCAGTGGAACGGCTTGCCTCTTGAAGTTGTGGCTGCTCCATTTCTGAAGGTTTTCAAGAACAGGCTGGACAATCATTTGCCTGGGATGGCATAAGCTCTCCTCCCTTTCAGCCCAATTCTATCCCAATTGCTCTATTGCGTCAACAAGTAAAATCACCAGAACAGAAAGTAGCAAATGATGTGTCTTAACAAGCATAAAAGACTCAAGAGCAGAGCCTTCGTTTTTGCTGGAAAATTGCTCAGTGAAAATTTTCTGCTTCTTTTTGGAATCCAAAACATTAAAAAAAATGTTTTGCTGAATGCAAAACACACCTTTTCCATGCTTTGCGACATTCTTCTCCCTGACCGAGACTCACATGCGGATGGAGTTGGTTGGGGGAACACCCTTGTTGCTGTGAGAACACAATCAACAGTTTACAACTGCTGCTGACTGGCATTCAGGGGTCAGTCAAAATGGCCTGGTGCTCAGCTGGATTTATGAGAGTTATGAATCTAAAGGCTTACACTTAGGCAAAAAAAACCCCAAAAGGACACATGTAGATTAGGTGAAACCAGCCTTAATAGCAGGAACTTTGAGAGGGATCTTGGAGTCTTAGTGGACAACCAGCTAAATAGGAGCCGCTTGTGTGCACCAGCAGCCAAAAAAGCCAACGCAATCCCATATTGCATTAACAGAGGAATCAAGATCAAGGGAGGTACTAATACCACTCTATAAAGCTTTAGTAAGGCCACATCTGGAATACGGCATCCAGTTTTGATTACCACACTATAAAAAAGATGTTGGGACTCTAGAAAAAGTGCAGAGAGGAGCAACCAAGATGATTAAGGGACCAGAGGCTAAAACATACAATGAACGGTTGCAGGTACTGGGCATGGCTAGTCTAGTGAAGAGAAGGATCAGGGCAGACAGGATAGCAGTACTCCAATATTGGAAGGGCTTCCCCAGAGTGGAGGGGGTCAACTGTTTTCCAAGACACCCGAAGGCCAGACAGAATAATGGATGAAAACTGATCAAGAAGAGATTCAGCCAGGAAATAAGGATAAATTTTCTAATGGTGAGGACAATTAACCAGTGGAACAGCTTGCCTCTAGATGTGGCAGCTTCATCCCTGAAGGCTTTCAGGATCACTACACTGCCATCTGTCAGAAATAGTGTAGGGTCTCCTACTTGGGAGGGGGTTGGACTAGATGACCTACGAGGTCCCTTCCAACCCTGTTAATCTGAATCTGAAGCCCTCTGGCAGAAACCTCAAAGCAGCCCCCTTTCTCGAGCTTTGGACATTTTAGAAGAGGCTTTCTCAGCCTTGGAGGGAAGTAAGGCACATGGGCAGAATTGGTCTCCGTGTCTTAAGGTCATCAAGGCTGAGAAACTCTTTCTGCCAGGTCCCGTCAGAAGGAACCAAGCACTTTGTACACATCCATCTTTGGGGCTCCCTTGAAAACAATGGGGGGGATGCGCCTCTACAGGGACCCCCAGGCAGGCTTATGGCTGGCTGCCCAACCAGTTTGGCATCCTTCGAGCACTTGGCACGGCTAACCTTTCCGCTGCTCCTCTTGCATGTTTCGAGGGCCACCCCCACCCTGCCCCAAGTGAGCCCTTTGTGGCTCTTGCATGTGCCTTTGCACTGTGACAGCCTGCACACACCGCTGCTCCTGTCGGTAACACGGAAGCTTCCCTGCGAGTTGGGGGCAGCTGGGTTCTCCTTCCTGTTTTGGCATTTGTGTGTAATACTCTTGCTGCAGTATTGTGGAATCCCTGCTTGACCAAGCCCACCGGGCACGCTTGCCTGACTTTCCCTGGCATCTCAGTGATGGCAAACTTGTCTCCTTGCTTTGTTAGGCAACTTCCGGAGATCCCCCGACTGGTGCTGTCCAGTTCTACAATCCGTCTCAGTTTGCACAGGTATAACCTTCCTCCTCCTGTCCGCAGGTCCTTCCCTCCAATGCGAGTACTGCAAAAGTAGCCTTGTATGGACCCCCTCCATACACCCCACTCCCTGGAACGCTTGGTGTAATGAGCAAAGATTTGCTCCAGCTTGTATTCAATCCTTCGGGGTGGGAAAAGTTTGCTTCAACCATGGATTGGCTAGGAATAGTCTTCTTTTGAGCTTTGAGGATTGGAATTTGATTGGGAACAGAATTGGGAGTTAATGCACACCTTTTGCTTTGCCTTAAACACAACCCAAGAGGAGGATTTCAAACTCAACAAGAAGTTGTGTCTGCAGGGTTCTTTTGGTCTCCAGCTGTGAGGTTCCCTGATTGATTGAGAACTGTTTTTTGTCTTTCCAGCCTTCTGCAGCTCCGGCTAGCTCCCGACTTGGCAGAATTGGGCAGAGAAAATACCCCACTTTAAAATAGCAACATCCATTCTGTCTCTCTGCTGCACAAGAGCCTCCCAAGATGTCCCGGGGTACCAGTTCCATTTCTCAAATTGAGAATCCACCTGGATGGCTCCCCCACAGAGGCCGTGGCCGACGTCGATTACCAAATGCTCTCCTCGTAACCCAAAGGCTTGGCTGAGGGGGTCAAACGTCAACGGGAGGGAGGACTGGAGAACTTCGGGTTGAGGGGCTGCCTCAACCCGAAGACTCCCTCCCCCTTTTCTCCTCGGCTTTGCTAAAATCCAGCTGCTCCGTCTACGACAAGACTTTTCCCGTGTCACCTTTTAACATTACAGTTTGTGGCCTTAGAGGAATCGGGGCATTGTTTTTATGCATATAAACCACTAAAACTTGGGGTTTATGGCTCATCTGGCACATTAACGGAATTGGTGGGGATTTTCTTTTCCTATCGACTTTCCCTTTGCTCCCAACCTTCGGGGGAGGGAAAATGTAGCTGATCCAAATAAACAGAGAAATGTATAATGAATAGGGGGAAAGAAAAAAAAAAACCTCTCTGACTTGTAATCTTAAGATTTCCTTGGAAGTGGATTTTCTTTAGTGCACATGTAGTTTGCGGTCTTAGGCTCCTTGTAAAACGAACTGTAGAGTCCAGAGCGGAAGCTCTTTGTATAGCGTTTCGCATTGTTCTCCTTCTGATAATTCCTCCTGAAAGTGCAATATGGCTCCTTTCTGGAACTCGGATCCCTCCAAGAACTCCGTAACAGCTCAAAAGGGGCTTAGCGTTTTATTTTTTTAAACTTGTGGAAGTTCCCCCTTCTTCCATCTCAAGACTTTTCCCCCATGTCCCACTGGCCCAGCTCATAATTTACCTGGCCGTCTCTTTTTTAAAAAACCAATTCAATTAGCAAGTGCAACTAACAAGAGGCGTGAACTGAGTCTCGGGTGGAGTTGCATGAACTCTTCAAAGCTGTCATAGGTTGTGCTAACATCCACGTAAGTCTGATCAGAGACAAGAGGGAACTTATTGTTGGCGCAGTAAAAACCAGTCCAGAAGACCAGTGCTCAGTCCAGAAATACAGAGGGTATTTTTTAACGTTGATGCTTGACTCTGTGGCTTAATTCTACCTATCTGGGTTCTGGAGGGTCTTAAAACACATTTCCAAGGATTCTTGTGGGCGAAGAGTTGTAAAAAAGGAAGGCAGAACCTGTCTCAGCCTCTTCTAGTCATCTTGAATTTGTTCAAGATGTTTTTTTTGTCCCTTTAGATCTCTGCCTCTCTTGAATTTCTCTGTCTCGATGACCACTGAGCATTTTTTCAGATTTCCTCCACCCAGAAGAGCCACTCTCTGTCGTAAACGTTACAAATGACACTGTACATTCTTAAAATAAAATATTTTGCGCATCTGGAGCACTTTCCACACTTTTAACTCGGCCTACGGTTTATTGGGGTTGCCAATTGTATGCAGAAGCAGCTGTTCTAAGAGCCTGCAAGTTTCTGGCACTGCAAACCATCCACCTTCCCTTCTGTTTGGAGAAACCTTTCTTAAGGAGTGGAGTTTGACAAATTCCTGCGCCCATTGGGAGAATCGAAGCTGACTGGATGGTCCCAAAACAGCATGGCAAAACTGTATAAAACATTATGTTCCATCAAGTCGGCATCATCCGCTCAAAGCGACCACCTAGATTTTCTCTGAGAGGGTCTGTTCTCTGAGAGGGTCTGGTCCTTCCAAGCATGCCCCAGTCCATCCCTTTTGCAGCTGGTTGTCCTCTCCTTCCAGCTTCTCCAGAGCTGGGTTTTCGTAGCGTGGTTTTTTCCGAGTCTATTTGAGTCAGGTCAACCTCTGGGTTCAGGGTTGATCTATCTGTCTTGGCCCATTTTCTCCAATCCGAGAGTTCGAAAGCATCAGTGTTTCTAGACAGTTATCTGAAATAGTATTAAGTTCTCCAGCTTGAGCAGGGGGCTGGACTAGAAGACCTCCAAGGCCCCTTCAAGCTCATTCCTTCTATTCCGAGTGCTCCTCCTCTCCTGCTTCCTTGCAAATACACACAAGCTGGAGTCATGGTGAATGAAACCAGCAGGCAAAGCCCTGCATGTGGTGAGGATGAAATGCCCTCCGTATTGGAACACAGTTCATTTAGTGACCATTTAAACTTACAACAGCACTGGAAAAGAGTGACTTATGACCATTTTTCACAGTTGCAATCTTTGTAGTATCCTCATGTGATCAAAATTCAGATGCTTGGCAACTGGTTCATACAACGCTTGTAGTATCCCAAGATCATGCAACCCTCCTTTTGCAACCTGACAAGCAAAATCAATGGGGGGACCCAGATTCACTTAGCAACTGACTGACTTATCAACAGCAGCGATTCCCTTAATGCCTGTGGCAAGAAAGGTGGAAAAACGGCCTGAAACCTCACTTAACAGAAATGATGGGCTCCATTGTGGTCGTAAGTCGAGGAATCCCTGTAAAGATCGGGCGGGGGGGGGAGACCCCTCCTATGCCAGGATGCCCAACCAGAAGGAAAGGAGCCTCCCTCCTCACCCAGGACCCCACGGCCTCTCGCTGTGTGTGTGTTTGTGTGTGTGAAGGAGGGGGAGGACCCAGTTGTGGCTTCACAGCTGCAGCGCCTCCCCCCGCCCATCCGGTTCCGAGGCGGCGGCAAGGAGGAACCGCCGGGCGCCATGGCAACGCGCTGATGTTGCGGGGCGTCATAGCAACGCGCTGAAGGGGCGGGGCGAGGAGGGAGCGTGCGCACGCGTACCCCCGCGCGCGTGGCGGCCGTTGGTAAGGGGAGGAGCCACGGCCTCGACGACGGGATAGGCCTGGCGCGGCGAGAGGCTGCCGCACAACGACCCTGCGAGGTAGGCCGCCCGCCTTCGGGGGACGGGGGCTGAAGGGGGTGGTTGGGGGCGCGCGGCCTCCTCAACTTTGGCGGTTCTACATTATTTCGCTTTTCTGGCGTTCGTTCCCTCACTTCCTTCCCTTCATTTTGAGCGCCCCCCCTCACAGATCAAGGGAAAGAACCCCAAGCCCCCCCTTAGGAACCTTTTCCGTCCCTGCCGTGGATGATGGGCCCTTCATCATGAGGAGAGGGGATTTGTATGGTAGCGCCCCCCCCTTTGAACTTTGGGTGGTGGAGAGAGATCCCTGAAGGATCTTTGAGGAGGGGGGTGGATTCGGGGACCCCTTTGCCCTCCCTTCCCAGGCTTTGCTAGCTGCGAGGGAAGAGGGAGGGGCTCTTATAAGCCTCCCCAGGCTTGTTCCCCCCTCCCCCCATTTTCTTGCCCCCATTGGTGACCCTCCTGCTGCTGAAGGGGGCTGAGTTCAGCTCTGCCCTTCCCCCACCCGTCTCTTTCACTTCCTGTAGTCTCCCCCCCCCTCAACTTCACACTCCCCCCCCCTCAGTCTTTGGAAGAAGGCAAAAAAGAGGGTCACAGGCAGTCCCCGACTTAACGGCCAGAAGAGAGCCCCAAGTTCCTGTCGGCAAGCAGGCTCCTTGTTAAGTGAGTTTGGCCCCGTTTTATGACCTCCCTGGCTACGGTTGGTTAATTGTGAAGTTAAGTGAATCACTGCAGTTCTTAAATCAGTGTTTTTCAACCTTGGCGACTTGAAGTCCTGTGGACTTCACCCCCCAGAAGCCCCCAGCCAGCACAGCTGGCTGGGGAATTCTGGGAGTTGAAGT